TCAAATAAACTATCACGAAGCTTACATACCGTAAATTTTTTTTTATTTATTTGTTGTCGTTGTCGTTTTTACCGATCATGAATGAATGCTTTGTGGATTGAAGTCAGAGATTAACAATTTAAGAATTTTCTCGGGTTTGCACTGTCTTAAACTTTTTTAATCAGCACCGGTGAAAACAAGAAAGTCGTGCTCACGCAACAAAAGTAAATGACAATCAATTTTATTTCCACACGACTTTCTAAATCAAGTAATTTAATTCAGTCTAGAACAACTTCGTCGAAAAAGGAAGAAACTCTCTAATATTATTATATATAATATTATCTTGCTAAATCTCTCTAATAATAAAAAAACCAAAACCAGGTGTTGAAACATGGTTTATCTCACGAGTTCTGAATAATAAATGCTGCGAATCGTTAAATAACATTTTTTCAAGCATTGATCTCGTTCATATCGAGCAAGTACTCCTCAAAGCATTTCTGCGAAAGACATTTTTTTATTTTTTTCTTAAAAGAAGGAAACAAAAACAGGAGAAAAAAAACATTTTTGAGAAAACTTCAGCTAAAATGCGAAAAACGACTAGCAGGTGTTTTAAAAAGCGCATCTCTAGGCAAAAGAACTCTAACAGTGGCATTAACTGTAAAAACAAACACACAAGCTAGCCTTGGCCAGCAGATATAACTGACGTTAAGACAATCCTCAAAAACTACCGTAAGCAGTTCGTTGCGTCAAATTAAAAAAGGGGGAACAAAGAAAAATATACATGTTTATTAGGTAGCCTGTTACCGACATTGTCCTTACACACTTTTTTGTCGGAATCCCCAATCGTATTATAGCGTGGTCTAAACGAGTATATATGAAGCGGATATGAAAAGGCGCTTTATCTCCGAATATTTCCTTACTTTTAACAACCACTTTACGACGGAAGTACGACAAGACAATTCTGCCGAACTAAAACAGAAACTAGGAAAACAAAATTGCTTTGTTTGCTGGCCAACCTGTCAGGAAGATCCACAAAATAAACCGAACATTCGACGAAAATCTTGAAATATTCTCGATACAGTTTTGACAGTTAACATAAGTTATTGCAAAATACAGGACAACTCAACGAATAACGTTCGACGACAAACAGATGAAAATGGAGGTTAAACGTAAATTTGATAAAGCAAGAACGAAAGATTGTCGCAAATACAAATGAAGGAG